CGCTACATTAAAGATGTCTCCAGAGCAACTGAATGAGTTTTCATATAGAAATTGCAGGTATTCGTCTCGTACATCAACGCCCCCTATAGTTCGTTGTGAGCACGAATTGTGAACCGCCTAATTTATTTTCTTGAAATGAAAAACAAAACCTCTGATTTTCAGATTGGTTTTTGTAAACTCAGATTGTTTCAGACTGGTTTTGTTTGCATGTATTTATCTTTTCTTGGAATTCCTAATAGTTGATATCAAGCATTTAGTTGCATAAATTATACGAGTTTATTAGTGCTGCCATCTGTACTCCACTGCTTATCACTATATCTTATTTGCCACTGCTTATCATTGTTATCGCTTTTTGTGTGCTGTTATCGCCACATGTTCATTCATCATCATATTCGTTTGTTTAAGTTATTGTTTTGATGTTGTCATGATAATTATGCATTGCGTTAAATGTACTATTAAAGTAATGTTTTGAATCATTGTATGTGTTCTAGTCCTTATTATACAGTATAGGACCCCAAATCTGGCACTCACGGGACCGACGAAATTCCGTATTTCGGAATTTGCCGAATTTCGGATCTCTTTCGGAAATTCCAATATGGCACCCATATATTACAATAATTCAATTATACTGCTAATTTCAGAAAATTAATTAATTCCAAAAAATTTAGTTAAGTTTTGATCGTAGTAGGTGAATTTAAAACTGTCCTATCTTAAGAAATCTCATTAATTAAAATATTATCTATAGAATAGAAATAACAATACAGTGTAAAGTCGCGTATCCGGAATCGGTGGGACTTCCAGAAGTCCGTATTATAGATTTTTCCGTACAATAGACCCCCAAGGTTAACAAAGCTTAAAATGATTTAATAAACGATCTGAATCTAAGAAGAAAATAATAAATAAACATTATTTTTAAGGGGAATAATGTTTTAGCATTAGAATATCTAATCAATCAAATATAAAATATTAGAAAAAAAATATTGCTGAAAATATGGAAAACGAAAAAAATTTAACAGTTATGAAAATATTAATCCGCCATTTTGAACTAGAACGATTCCAGCAGGAAGAGGAAATTCATGTCATTCTGGAACAAAGCTTAAAATGATCTAAATCTAAGAAGCAAAAAATAAATAAACATTATTTTTAAGGGGAATAATGTTTTAGTATTAGAATATCTAATCAATAAAATATGAAATATTAGAAAAAAATATTACTGCTTAAAATATAGAAAACGAAAAAAAATTGACATATGAAAATAATAATCCGCCATTTTTAACTAGAATGATTCAAGCAAGAAAGGGAAATTCCCGTCATTCATTAAGGTGGGTAGGTGGAGGAGAAAAATTCATTTCCTCCTTATTTGTGAAAGAAAATGAGTGTAAAGAGGAGATCATTTAAGTTGAGGGTGGGGAAGTAACAAATTATTGTTTTCTCTCCAATCATTGGCTGTCAATCAAGCATAAAGGCGGGGCACGCTGATCGGGTTCTCTTTATTTTTTCTTCCATGACTGAAAGAATGTTACCACTTTTTTCCCCCCGCCTCCTAAATATTACATGGTATGGAGAAGAACGAATGTTTTGTTTCTCAAGGACATGCATCCTTTTAGACCTATTCAAATTTTCCATTTTTACTCCCCCTCCACCTTAACGCTTGCCCCGTTTACCCTTTTCCACAGTATTTCTTCTTTCAATAAAAAGGTTCCAGGAAATGTCTCTCAGAATCAGACTCAGTTGCGGTCTTTTGAAAACAAATCTCCCTCTTTTTCCTACATTCCAAGGGAGGAGCGTCACTAACGGTCACTCAATTGTTTTGGTAGATCTTCACTTCCCCTTTCTGGTGATTTATGGGTTCGATGCATAAATCAGAGGTTCAGTGCAAGCTAGAAAAAGAGAAAATGTGTCAAAAGACCTTTTTCTTTTTTTTTTTTAAGGAAAGGGGAAGAAGGAGAGATGTTTGTTTTTTTTGTTTGTTAAAAAGTGTCCGGGAAATCGATCCTTCCGGGAAAGGGACGTCTGGATATGGGACGTTACACTGTATATATTTTTTATAAGCAAACAACAAATAATGATAAAAAAACAAGCTAACAACTAAATACGATTAAAAAAAACAAGCTATCAATTAACAAAAAAAAGAGCAGTTAATAACTAATAAAAAAACAAAAGAGTATAATTTACATCAAGTAAGAAAAGCAGCAAAAGGGATAGAATTCAGTTTGTATCCCACATGGTAGCTTCATTATCAAAAGGGTGTGGCTAATTTATGGTCAAACTGGAGAGGGAAATGTGGGAACCAAGGGGTAAGAAGGGGGGGGGGAACCAGTAGAGCACTTGCACAGCTGTCAAGATTGATTGATCTGTTTCTTCCAACTTGCTTTTCTTTATTTTGTTCATTGAAAATGCAGGTGTTTTTACTTTTCCCTTTCAGTTTAGATATTTTAAACTGCTTTAGAAACAGATGTTTCCTTTGACACAGATTTTTTTTTCATGCTTTTTTTTTTAGAAAGATAAAATAAAGTTACTTACTTCAACAGAATAAAATTCCAAATCAAAAGAGAGTATAAGTGATTTTTTTTTCTCTTATTAATAGAAATTTCTTAAAAAAAAAAAAAAATAGATCGGATTATGTGCCGAATTTCGGGTCCTGCCGAATTTCGGGATGCCGGATTAGGGGTCCCATACTGTATACAGTTATTCCTTCAGCATGAACCATGCACTCCTTGTAGTCAGCATTGCGTTATTTTAGCCAAGCTTGATTTTCATGCTTTTGAAAGAGCATGTGGCAAGCGGTTGAATCATTTTAGAGGGTGCGTCACAAGCTGTGATAAAGGCAATCAAACAGTCTGCTATCCTACTATCAATCTGCAATGCATCTCTAAACCATTCAGTGTTTCTTGTTAATTCCCAGTCAGCCATGCTTTCACTTATCTCTTTTCAAATCAATCAGTCGAAATGTATAAAGGAAGTAAAGCAAAAATTTGATGTTCTCATCAACAATGGTTGGATGATTTTCTTCCAGTGGATTCCCAGCCATTTGGATATATTTTGATATGAGAAGGCGGACCTGCTTATAAAAAAAAAAGAATCTTGCTTCCACAGCCTTCCTTTGTCCTTTACAGTTAAATTTCTTTCACCATTCAGGGCTACAAACCAATTTGTTAAAAGAACCAAACTGCTGGTGTGGCATGAGAAATGTGGTCCAGTGTTGTTATCAATCTCATTCCCATGGACCTCCCCTAACTGATTTTCTCTTCAAATTTTAGAATAGTAAATGAATATGACTCTCCAAAATCACCCTCGCTGAATAGACATTGCTGACTCTCCTGACTGCCCTTTGTGTTTTACAGGGGAGGTTATGAGCTTGTCACTAAACAGTTTGCCCATCTCTGAGAAAAATTATTAATTCTTTGATCTGTAACAACTTTCAGATGAAGGCTACTTTGTACTGGCTGCTAGAAATATTAAATGGCTGATACAGCCAGATCTTTACCTAACTACCAATCCTTTTTGTGCCAGCTGACACATAAGGTCTTTTTTTCTAGGCACCTCTGTCCTGAGCCAGTTCTCTTGCCTCTTACTATTATTTAGTTTTACTTTGCATGGATCTTGGTTCACATATTTTTGCCAAGTAAGTCGGGGCCTTCCTCTTTTAGGTTTTCTGTCGGTTGCCTAAGTAAGTGCAATGTTAGCAGGGCTATCTTGTTGTAGAAGAATGATATGTCCAGTTCATCTCCATCTTTTCTTGACATTTTCTTTATGAATAGGTGATAATTTTGCCTTTATTAATAGATCTTTATTTGAAATAGTAATAGGCTAGGAATTTTATAAAATTAATTTTAAACATTTGTTCTGGAATGTTTCCAATTTTATATTTCAGTTTTGCAGAGATTCAATTATTCAGCACCATATAAAAAAATGGAGCAAACAATCTACATTTGTTAAAAACTTCTGTTTTTGTGTTGAATTTCTTTTTCCAGATCTTTGATCTAGGGAAAAAAACTCTTAAAAGATAGATTCTGATAAATTTCTGCTTTTTATTGTCAGTGTATTTATTATAGCATAGTATTTTTCATAGTAAATCTGGTAATTGGTAAATAATTAATTTAAAATAGATGTACTTAAAGAGGAGCTACCTATAAAATAACTTTTTTTTTCTTACATTCTCAATAATTACTCTCTTGCATTTCCTCTCACTTAGTAAAATCATATTTTTTTTACTTTAAAATATTTTATAGACAATTAATTTAAATTCTCCTTTCATCAATATTTTTTGTGAGGGTAAATTACGATAAAATTGAGTTTTTATGGTGTGATGTATTTTTTTTTCTCAGGAAGATATGAAAATAAAAAAATTATTTTCTATATTTAAGTATATGGAGTTTTTTGATTTCCAACAAGGCTTGTTAATATATATCAGCAGATATATATTGTGATACAGATCATGATATATATGCAATTTTTTAAAAAATAAACATGGTATGTGATGTATCATGATGTGTGATAGTTTTGTTGTTGTTGAAAATGTATGGATTTATCAGTTAAAAATAGATCTAGTCTAGTAGCTCAAAATATCTGTATTTGATTTTTATATTTCTATTGTATAGATTATGTTAGGAGCATACATAAGGTGAACTTTTCTTTTTACACAAAAATGCTTATATCAAGCTTCAAAATATTTATTAATCGATAAGTTTTTTTCATTGAGAATATCAAATATGTATATAAAAATATTAGGAAATATCAAAATGTTTAAACTTTAGATATTTTTGAAAATATGATCTCCGATTCTTGCACATTTCAGACATTTGAGCTTTTATTATAGTACCCTTCAGTTTTTGTTCAAACATATGCACGAATAAAAACTCTGAATGCATAATAACCTTAAATTTAAAAAAAAATTCTTTTTAGGTCAATTATTTGCTTATGGTTCAAATAAACTGATCTTTTAATGAACTTTCAAACTTATTTTCAATTATTTAAAGTATGGCATGTATATTTTATAGGGATCTGTAGATTACTGTGTGATAGCGGTGCAGCTGCTTTCAAATATTACTTGTGAAATTAATCAGATCAGTGAAGTAAGTCCTTCATTTCTATTATATTTAATGTTTGAATTATGTAAGTACGCCATGTTTGTACTGCATTCACTTAAGTTTCATGAATTAGCAATTATATTCTAGCAATTTAATTCCTGAACCTGGCACTAATTAGTTCCCTTTTTTTGTTAGTTCATTTTTCTTTTATATGTCTAGGAATCAATCAATTTAGGATAATTATTTTGTATGTCTATTTTATTAAGAAAGTTTGTTAACAATCAAGTTTTGAAAAATGATCGCATATATTCTAATTTTTCTTTAAATCAAGAAAAAAAAATAGTCGTACCTCATTAACCTCAACTTGAAGGGTGACAGAAAATTTGTTCACCTTATCAGTTCTGAAATTTTTCGAGGAAAATTGTTCTATACGCAAACTTTTTTTATTTGCTCTGTTAATGTAAATAAATATATATATTTCATTTCAATAAATACACAATACATTTTAATAAATTAAATAAAATTAAAAATTTGCGCTTTATATTACATTAACCCTTTCACGCCGACTGTCACATATACATGCCAGCAAGAAACTCGCTCCTTTCCCAGTCGACACACCCGTTTGCCAGAGTGTTTTCTCATTCACCCCCGGTCGTCACTCATTTGTGCCAATGTTTTGGAACGTTTTAAAAAACGAAATTTCTTCCATAAGATAGCATTGTATGTCCATATGATTTCAGATACATGTAGATTTGACCTTCTACTCAAGATGACAGTACATTCACATGGTTTTTAGGGGGAAGGAATGTTTCATGACAGCTCTTTAAATTCGCGCGTGGTATTTGTTTACAGTAATCAGGGGAGGTTTTTTTTTTTCGCTACTTTCGATTTATGGTTTAGTTTTTTGTGGATATTTAGATCTTGTAGACCCCTGTTTTAAAATTTATTATGCGAAAAAAGAACTTTAAGTCATATATTTAGTTTTCAGATATGTAATGTTAAATGTTAATAAATGATAAGTGCATAATGAAAATAAAATGTGTGAAATATATATTTAAATAAGAAATAACTTAAGTTTATAAAATATCCATAGAAATATATATAAAGCATATGTCATTTAAATACTCTACAGAACAATATTAAACAACGCATTGATATTTCGGTAATTTCATGGAATTAAGCTTAACAGCAAAAAACCCTCCGGCCCTTGAAACACACGCAAGAGAGACTGCCGGTCTCAGCGGTAAGCTTGCTTTCACGCTTCCCGTCGCGAAAGGGTTAATAACTTCTGTAAATTTGTAATAAATACAACCCATTACTTCAAAAAATAAAGTTATAAAGAAGAAAAAATATTTTAGTTCAGACAAAATTTAAAAAAGTGTAATTACTTTTGGCATTCTATTTCTTTTCTTTTTTTTTTTTAATTCTGTAGAAGCAAATAAAAAATTACTGCAAAGTAACTAATAGGAGTGAAGTGAGTTATTGCACAAATTAGAGAGGATTACTTCCAAAATCATTGGTGATAGCTCATTGTTTTGAATCGCATATGCTTTCCACAAGTCTTCTAACTTATCAACTGTATCCAAAAATGATTTGAATTTTCATTTTAGCTTAGTAAGCATTCATGCTTAGTAAGCAGTCAGCAGAAAAAAAGTAAGCCGAAGTATTTTCCAGTGAAATTTAAGCTCCAGGCATCTTCAACTGTAGAAGTGCAATTCAGCAATATAAATATCTTATAACAACTTATGAGAGAGCGAAAGAACTGACTTCCCATGCTGAAAAACGAATAAATATGGGTGATAATTTCTCAGGAAAACATGCTTCCATATATTCATACCCATTAAGAACCCCCTTGAGTTGATAGAAAACTCTTGTTGTTTCGAATGCTACTTGCCAATATCAGCAAGCTTGTTTTGTAAAACAAAGCGAGTTTAAGGCAAAGGGTGCGCTATCTATGGCTGAGAATACGACTTCAGCCATACACACATCTCACAGCCTGTTTTAGAAGGCGGACCCATTCATACATTCAATCATGCATAGATCGTAATTTTGACTTAAACTGGAGAAGGATCATTCTCCAATTCAGTACTTCCAGAGGTATTTGTTTGTTATGGGAAGTTGGAGGACTTAGTGATCCGACTATGCAACAATACTTTTACTTACATTACTTGTAACGATACTAAAAGTTAAAAGTATGTACTTTTACTTGTACTTCGTAACCTTTTAAATTAAGTACTTTGACTTGTTTTATGTTTTGTGTGATACTTATATTGTTACATTGTTTGGCCTTTTGCCCATTCTTTATGTAATTTTATTCAATTGCTTTATTGTTTAACATGTTGTTGCTGTGTTAACTTGTAAATTTTACGGCGAACTGGGGTATTAAGAAACTGTCTGGAGATGTTCTTATTGATTACACTGATGTATCTAATGTTTCACATATTTTGTAGAATAATAATTGCCCAGCTCACTATAAGGGAAGTCCCATCGGCAATCGCACTATAAGGTGGGCTTCCCGGAGCAAATTGTTTTTACTTTAATTTCTTACCCTATTCCTCAGTTGCCATCAATTGTAAAATGTAATTTTTGTTTGTATTTTAATAAATGCCACGAGTGTGGCCTAGCCAACCTGGGTGGTTGGCGGGGCGCATGTGCTGGTGTGCGGGAGGGCTGCCGCGGCGGCAGGTCTTCTTTCCGTATGCCCAAATTAGGGTGGGGCAGTATTATACTTGTTTAATGTTATTTTTTGGGGAAAAAATACAAGTACAGTGAAAGCTCCTGTTTATTACCGCCTCTGAATACGGACATATTTTTAATTCCCTGGGAATCTTCTATGTATAAACCATTATGTACATTCTCTGCAAATTAAACACTTCCGTAGCGGACGATAATTTTTGCCCTGAAATATTTTCTATCTCTTCAAACCGGACTCTACTTTTTCTAAATATGAAAAAAAAAATACCCCACTGAAAATTTCTTTCATTTTCTGATCAATTTGAAGACTGAATTTAACACTACTGGGGTATAAAAAGAGAACAGAAGTATAATCTTTGAGGTGTTCATATAAATGAAACATTTATTCAGACACTTGATGGATTGTCAATTGTGAATAATGAACTCCATGGGTACGCATGACTTACAGATATACATTGCTTTTTTTTCTGTGAATCAAGGAAAGTTTACTTTCTAGCAGGTAAACCACATTTCCTATCAAGTGAATAGGTAGATGTTAGGGGATGTAAGCCTAATAATTGAAACCAGCTGAGGACTAAAAGTTCCTATTCGGTATCATATGTCTAACTTGAATATCTGTGCTAATAGCAAAATTCATTTATATGTGGCTAAATCTAGAATTATGTATTTATATCAAACTCTTTTATATATTTTTTAATGCAAAAGTATTTTTTAGAAGTTAAATAAATATCTTTGTAGATAGAAACAGATGTAGATTCTTTATATCTATCTATATCTTTTAAAACATTCTAAAAACAATTTACGGTGTTAAATTTTGTTATTATTTTACCCTTCCCATAAATGGACAACTATCCTAAAGGGATAATTTTTTCGGTCCCAAAAATATCCGCTTAATGGAGGTTTCACTGTATTTGTGATGAGACTGTTGAAGGAAATCCTTACTTTTTCTGAAATTTTTTAAAAGTTTTCCTTGAAATTTTTTTTTTTAAATCTTTTTTTCATAAGTTTAAGGTATATATTCTTCTTTCAAACGTTTTTGAAAATTGCAATTTCCTGAAAGGAACACAACAAGTCTTTTGAACACTCAATGACTTTTTTGCAAAGTGTATTGAATGTTATCTATTTTCTAAGAATCAGTAGTGACAGGGATGGACTGGGACACCACGACCTATCCCGGTATGCCCTTTCAAATGGTGCCTTCAGACTTCGTTACTTTCATTTGGAAAAAAGTAAAAAAAAAACGTAAATAAATGCGTTAATAAAAATAAATTTTGTTTTTTAGGAAAAAAAATTTTAAATTAATGATTTGTAATGTTTTTTTTTATTACTGTTCATCCTTTTCACATCGTTTACTCTTCACTAAGGAAAGCAGTCTTTTTCTTTTCTTACGTCTGACCACAATGTGGGTGCAAAGAAAACTAAATTCATAGCGTAACTGCTTGCAAGTTCCTAGAAACTATTAATTACCACCCCACCTGCTTAATCAATTTCGTTTCTATCAGAAACAAAATGTTCTGACAGAACAATAAAACTCTGTTCATGGTTTAAAAAAATCCTTACCTACTCAACCTCGGCAAGGTTAAAATATGTCCCTTATAGCTGACTGATGGGAAAATACATTGGATCTTATCTTTGTTGCTTTAGGAAAAGTGTTGTCTTTTCTGAGCTTCTAACTTTCTCTCTCATGGTCTGGGAGGAGGGTGGTGGTGGGTTGTTTACAGGGTCCTTTGTACGAATTTCAGACACAAAGTTTTACTTCTGCAAACTTTCTGGGGAGGGAGGTTCTTTTTCGTAAAAATTGTTAATGAGAAAGCACATTGAAAGAGCTCACCTGGAGGACCTGAATTTTTAGTCATTCTGCTATAAGAGATTTGCTTATAACTAAAAAATACATTCCCATGAGCCATCTATAGTCCGTTCATCGAGAACTGATAGTGAAAGTAAACATAAGGGTTGCTGTTTGATCGCCAACGTTTGCCACTTCAACGGTTTCTTCGCTGAATGAGCGATTTCAATTGAATCAACAGTGCTTTTGTTTTTATAGAAAAATGAAAACGATGTTTGGTTTTTGATACCTTAAAATTAGATAAGAAAGTGCAAAATTATAATATTTACATGAAAATATGTTTCTAATTGTTTCAGTAAATACATAATTTTATTTTAAGAATAGTTTTAATGTATTTTTTTTAAAGTTTAGATTAAGTTAGTTTTAATATATTTTGCATAAATATCTATGCAAAACATAACTTTTATAATTCCATCGTAAAAGTCTTATAGAATTGAACGAATATGTTAAAAAAATACTCTTTGTTTTCATAATTAAAATTTTTTTAAGAATTTATTAAAAGTTA